TTCTTTCTTTCTTCTTTCTTTCTTCCTTCCTTCCTTCCTTCCTTCCTTCCTTCCTTCCTTTCTTTTTCTTTCTTTCGTTCTTTCTTTCTTTCTTCCTTCCTTCCTTCCTTCCTTCCTTCCTTCCTTCCTTCCTTCCTTTCTTTTTCTTTCTTTCTTCCTTCCTTCCTTCCTTCCTTCCTTCCTTTCTTTCTTTTTCTTTCTTCTTTCTTTCTTTCTTTCTTTCTTTCTTTCTTTCTTTCTCTCTTCTTCTGTCTTTCTTCTAGATTAGAAAATAAACTAAAGCTAAGGCTTTGTTAGAATATGCAATATTCCATACCCTATTGACTTGAAAACACCAGTGGGTCCCCAATACCTCTTGGCACAGATTATGGGGAAACAAAATGTTAAATGACTGTATGTTCTTATTCATACTTCATAAATCTCATTCATCTGGAAGCTCATTTGCTGTTTTCCACTTTTGTTTTCCAAAATGGAGGGAGCAGGGATTTTTTTTGGTCAAACACTAGTTCCATCGGGTCAGACGATGAGGTTTTCTTGTTGGAGTGGGAGATAAGGAGGTATCAGTGTTTGGTTTCGGTTTTTGTCTTTTGGGCAGACGTTAGAATTGGATTGTCCATGAAGGGACTGGGCTCAAGTTAGATTTGAAGGAGGCAGGAAAGGAAGAGGGGCTGAAGAGTCATCATTTCAGACTCGTGCTGGGTCAGCGTCTCACTGGGTAGTTGACACATCCACATTTCTCATGAACTGCTTTGCAATAACCCCTTCCATATTTCGGGACTACTTATTGCAGGGTACCACGTTTCCTTGACATACAGACATTACTGGTTTTTCGGTCTAAAGATCCAGATTATGTTGAACTTGTTTGTTCTCTGTGGGTCAGTAGTTTCTCAGCACCTGCTCACAAACAGGTAGACTTTACCCCACCTCCCTCCTATTACTTATCAACCTAGAACTCCGGTGGCAGAAACCCATCGCTCCACTTGTCAGTCTTGCTCATGGCAGACATTCCTAATCGATTGTGGAACTCTTCCCACGGAGCCCACAGGGAAGCTTTGGGTCTCTCCCAACTCAGTGCTTCAGGGAGCCCTGAGTAATCAATCAGAAGTGGCACCGCTTTTGTTCACTTCAGCTGCCTATTTGTGCTAGCTCCTAAGAATTTCATTTCAACTAGATCAGCTTTTCACCTACCTTGCATAGAACGTAACCAACATTTAGGGAAATGACTTTTAACTGCAAAGGGTAGATTTATATAGTGCCTCTAAGAAAACCTACTACCATCCACAAAATCTTCAAAAACTTACATAAGAGAACTGACCGATGGAGTCAAAATCAAGCAGTGGCCAACAGTTATCAACTAGAGGGAAAAAGTGAACTGAGAGGCTTGCTCATCACAGGTAGTCAAGGAAAAAGAAGGGAGAAGTAATTGAATACTTAGGCTAAAAGTCAAGGGTGTCTGCTGTCCTTTAAAGTTGAATCTACCTTAGACTGAATCAAAAGTCTTGTGCAAATTACAACACTTTTCCTCATTTTTCTCAACTTTCAAATGAGCTGTGATATTAAGAGCTGCCAGAGTGTCATTAGTTAACACTTAAGAAGACTAATGAAAATTAAAAATTCAATTTTTCTAATTTTGCTCTATTTAATTAATAGCCTGTTCAATAATTATAATAACTCACATTTATATAATGCCATATAGTTTACAAAGCCTTTTAATATGGCACATTACAGTTAATCTTTACAAAAGAGAATCATGTTGAGCAAGCATGTAGGAAAATAGTTATTTCAGTGTTTGCACATTCATATTTTATAAAATCCTTCATGTTTCTTCCCCAAAGTAGCACATTGAAGAGAGTGATTAATAGTCTCATCGTGTGTTTGCTCATTGGGGCAAAATACACCACTATACCCAAAGGTGTGGATAAATGTAGCTATTGGCATGTGCTTCTTTTCTTTCTTCCAAAGATAATTTAGTGCCAGATACTTAACGAAAGCACATAAAGGGAGGGAGGCATCTTTTCATTAGTTGACTCTTTCCAAAACATCAAATAGTGTGATTGGTCAACATTCCATAGTTGAGGCCTACATCAAAAGCAACCTTGAGGTCACCAGCCCCAGACTAAAAACAGATACCTCCTGCCTTTCCTTTGTGTCACAAATGTTGACCAGTTCTTTGGTTAATTCTTTGAGTAAGCCAGTCTTTATCAGTTCTCTCTGAAAGAGGGCTTATACAGTACAGTTGTCAGGTGGCTTACATTAAGTCATTATAAATTAAGCATTTGTCAGAATTTCTGCTTTGATTTTTTTTTTGGTTTTCTTTTGGAAAAAGAGATTAAAACAACAACAACAACAACAACAACGACAGCAGCAGCACCCCCAAAACTAGGACATAGAGATTATTTACTTTACCAACACAGTGAACTATAGTTAATAAGAGCTTAATATAAAGATTTAGGACTTACTCTTAAACCAATCCCCTCTTGGACAATTATATGCCATTTCTGCTTAACATAAGTGAAAACTCATGAGCCTTTATGTGACAAACATTTGCTAGGTGCTTGGGATGTAAAATTAGGTAAGACCCGGTCCAGGCATCCAGAGAGCTTCGAGTCTACTGGCAGATAAAGATAGGCAAACAAGTCATAGGGTATGTTAAGTGCTATTGCAGAAGGTAATCTCAGGTACTCTGGTGGCACATGGGGGGACACCTAGATCTGAGAGTGGAGGGCATCCGTAGAGAGGGTGAAATTGATCTGAAATCGAAAGAGAAGGAGGGCAAAGGTTTTCTACAGCTGTGCTGTGCAATATGGTAGCCGCTGGGCACACAGCAAATGCAGCTAGTTCTGAATTAAGATGCACTAATAAATGTGATTGGATTTTGCAGACTTAGTTCAAAAGAGAAGTGTAAAATGCCTCATTAATACTTTTTATATCAATGACCAGTTGAAACGATAATATTTTGGATGTACTGAGCTAAAGAAAATACATTATTAAATTTTCTGTTTCTTTTTACTTTTTAAATGTGCTTCCTAGAAAATTTAAAATTGTATATGCTGCATTATATTTTTACTGGGCATTGCTATTCTAGGCAGAAGCTAGAGCTCACACTAAGTCCCTGGACAAGAGCAAGGTATATTGGGAAACTGCTAGTCATTTAACCAGAATACTGGGGCACAGGAGCAACAGGAAGTGAGTCTGGAAGGGAATGAGTCTGGAAGGGAATGAATCTGGAAGGGAATGAGCAACAGGAAATGAGTCTTAGGGATCTGGCTTCCATGGCTGTATGGAAGCCAGATCCCTAAGGTGTCCTACAAGTCATGATAAAGATTTTGAAGTCTATCTTGAAAGCATAGTGGAATCACTAATGAGTTTACCCACGGGAAGATTTTCTGATCGATTTCCTCCTCAAGATGATCTGCTTTCTTCTGCCACGGTGCATTTGCAAAATGTATTTTTATGGAGTTGGGCACAGAGATACATGCAATGGGTTTTGACTCATTTGACTGGATTAGCTTGCGATGTCATTCACGAAACAGCTAAAGGAAATAGGATGGTCCACCCAAGCTGGTTGGGTAGGTGATTCCCATTCATATTTTTGAGACACCCTTAAAGTACTGAACAAGTAGCAAATTATGTTCAGAATATCTAGGGTACGGTGCTGGTTATCTATTAACTCAGATCCGTCATATAACAAAGTAGAGGCTCAAAAAGGAAATGAAAAACAATATTAAAATCATCTAATAATTGATATTTTACAAAATTACAGTAGTCTTTGCCACCTTCACCTTGTGGTCTATATTGCTTTCATTTTGAGTTCCATAAGAAGATGGCTTAGGAGGTCTATATACTTTTCATTGCTTATGCATCTAAAAATCTTTATCCAGACCAGCCTGAGTGCAGCAAATCAGAGAATTAAGAGAAGACTAATAATTAGTAGCTACTGACACAGAATCTTACATTGTGGTTGACCATTGCCATTGTTTTGGTTGCTCCTTTCCTCCATTTTCCACCGAAACCCTTTCTCAAGAACCACTTCACCCTCTGCCTTCCTCAGCCTCCTAGGCTTGCAGTCATTCAGGTTAATCGGAACTCTGCAAGCCAGGGTTTGGTACTTTATGTCTAAACTGTTGCTGCTCTCATTTCTTTTTTTTTTTTTTTTCTTTTTTTTTTAAAGATTTTATTTATTTGACAGAGAGAGACACAGCAAGAGAGGGAACACAAGCAGGGGGAGTGGGAGAGGGAGAAGCAGGCTTCCCGCGGAGCAGGGAGCCTGATGCGGGGCTCGATCCCGGGACCCTGAGATCATGACCTGAGCTGAAGGCAGACGCTTAACGACTGAGCCACCCAGGCGCTGCTCTCATTTCTTGGGGGAGTTCTAAGTCCAACTCCATTTGCAGTTGGTACAATTTCCTGCCAGAAAACGTGATAATGGGGGGCGTCTGGGTGGCTCAGATGGTTAAGCGTCTGCCTTCAGCTCAGGTCGTGATCCCAGGGTCCTGGGATCGAGTCCCGCATCGGGCTCTCTGCTCCTTGGGAGCCTGCTTCTCCCTCTGCCTCTCTCTCTCTCTGTCTCTCATGAATAAATAAATTAAAAAAAAAAGAAAAGAAAACGTGATAATGGGATGTTAATTTAAAGGGCAAATCTACACATTAGGATATGGCTCAGTGCTTGAAACCCAAACCAGATGTTCCTGGGCAATGACAGTGCCACTTCATGTCTCTCTTCCCTTCATCAGCTGGCAGCCCAGGACCTGGGAACAGTGCTTCATCTCGGATAATTATCAGCTTCTTCCAAATGAAAAAAACCAAAATTGTGTAATTTTTCATAGTTATTATTTTTGGAGAAAATAGTTTTCTATCCAAACCTCTTTCAAGAGATATTTCCTGTGGGTTAGAATATATGTTCTATAATGAATTGAACCTCACTGTATAGAAATGATCAGTTTTTTTTTTCCTCCAGTGAAGTTGGGAAAAGCAAACATTTTATTTACCAAGAACAGAACACATAATATTAATTACAAATTGAAATAGTGTTTTTTTTTATTCTTTCTCTCATCCCTTTTCTCTTCTACCTCCTTCATTTAGACAGAACATATTTTTTTTTTTTTGAAGAATAATGTACTTAATAAATTCTTGCTTCCTTCCATCTACTCCTACTTCATTCTTCCCATTCATCTTCTGGAGGTTACCATTTAAAAAAATTTTTTTTTAATTGAAAGTTATCCCACATTCTCTCAGTCTGTAGTTTCTGTGTTTTCTGTCTTTTGACAGACAGTGTGTTTCCTTGCAGTTATCTCTAAGTGGGGTAACCTGGATTTATTCACACTGACCCAGCCTTAGACTCTAAGGAAGAGTATTCTTGGGTCGTACTTGGAGGCAAGTAACTTTGGAAAACTGAGTGCTGTCGCTTTGTTTCTCCACTAAGAGTGCTAGTAGTAGGCACTTACTGAATGCCTACTGAATTAGATAGTGTAATCAATACTAAGAGAAAGAGAGGAAAAAAAAAACCCACATTTTTTGACATTTTTGTGAAGGTTTTGGCCTTTCCTTCTGTCCATACATGCCTTTTCACAACCATCCGCCCCTCTCACTTTATCTTTCAGATGGAGGATCTCGCTATACCATTCAGCCTCAAATGGCACAGATTTTATCCATTCATCTCACATACAGTATTTGGAATTTCTTTGGAATTTCTGAGGAAGTCACGTTGGTAGCTAATCTGGAAATGAATATACATCTTTCACGGCTAAAGGTGACATGCAGTTTCCTTAGCATAGGAGAAAGAATTTTTACATTATCCTGACTTGGAAATGTAGAATAAAAGTTCTGAGAACCAAAATCTAAATTACATCAGGTTGTTCCTTGTTGTCACCTAGCATTGTGAGCCTTTTAGGGAGATCATCCATACAGAAGCATCAAGCACACTACTTGGCATATATTAGAATTCAGTAAATGTTAATCTCCCTACTAAATTCCCTTTCTCTTAGTTACAGCCCTTTTACCAAGACTAGCTTATTAGTTGATGAGAAACAACCATTGTATGTTTTTCCCAGGTAACTGGGAGGCTCTGTTCTCTTTTTGATAAGGATTTTGATAATGCAAAGTCAGTTAATTTCAGTTCGTTTTTTTCTTTATTTATCCCCCTGTATTTTGATATAATGATGATTTACTATACCTGTTAATGCACTATAAATCTTCAAGTTTGTTATCCACCCCATCAGCGAACTAGCTTTTGTGAAAATTGAAGCTAAAAGATATTTGATGAATGTTCCATCCTCCTCAATAGTGAAAACTGGTCTGAAAATCATTTTTCAAGGAGCTTTTTCCAAAGGTTTAGAGTTCCTCCAAGCCTTTAAGAAGTTGAAAATGTTATTAAGCATTTTGATTTCTTTTCCTTTCATCTCCTGTTTAGAAATTAATGTCTTGAAAAATTGGCTGCAAATGTTAAGGTTTTTTAAAGATATGGAATCTATTCATCTGTCTAATAAAACTGCAACATGTTAAAAATAATCAGTTCCTTGCTAGACATTTTGGCCAATCTTTGAAAGATTTTTGTCTTTGCTTTTAGACCTTCAGATGCCTTTTAGTTTCATTTTTAGCACTAGGAAAACCAAGCACTCTAATCATTTTCTAAAATGAGAATTTCAGCATGTATTCAATCTCTGGTCTTTGTAAGGAAGCAAGACGTGGTTCCATTCCTGTGTTTCACAAAAGGAGATGATAGACAAATAGGTAGTTTATGTGATTGTGCACCAGCCTTTGGGGTTTCTGTTTTCCCCATCTAGATTGTGTCTTCTTTTTACTGCAGAATGTATCAGTATCCGAAAAGGTCCTCTGGTTTATCTTCTTTGTAGGATCATTGTTGCATACAGTTTTGTATAAAGAAGCAATTCCGAGACTGTCCCAATATGTCTGCATATGGACGTGCATATGGTCGATTTTAGCTTTAACTTCAAATTTCCTTGAATACGTAGGCTGTGTGTATTCCCATAATGGTAGTTGAGCAATTTCTTTGTGATGGTTCAATTTCTTTCTCTCTCTTCTGCATTTCCCTCTCCTTTTTCTTTATACAGTGGTAACCTTCCTAAAAAGGCCCATTAAAAAAAAAAAAAACTAAACTAAAAAACCATAACACCCATGCAAGCAGGCGCCAGAAAGTTTAGATAACAGTCCCATCCCATTTGGCTGTTTGGCTGGAGCTGGCTGCGTAAATAGAATGGAATGTGGTGTTATGACTCCCTTACAACACTGTATAACACTGCCCCAGGATGAGCCTCGCCATCCATTTATATTTATTGATCTCCAGGATGTGCTGGGTGCTCTGGAACAACACAATTGCAGCCTTTGATTGAGATGACATACAATCTACATGGAAGTGAATCAGGCAGTCAACTCTGTTGGCCCTACTTCACCTGGTCAATTTTTTAGGCCTGATGGCTGGTGTCAGAAGAATTGTGTTTTACTGAGTGTTTCAGTGGAAGCCCCCCTCTGATTTTCAGAAGTGATCTGTAAGAGTGAGAGCACTGCAAACATGTAGTTACTCCATTCTTCTTCCACTTAAACCTGTAAAAACAAATCATGGAAATCTTTGTCAATTCACTCTGCTGAGCTACCTGGGCAGGGTTTTCCCTGTGATTAAGCAGCAAACCTGGCTTTCACTCTTCATTCTCTTAGAGAGTCTCAGAGAGTAAGGATTACACGTAGGCATAAGGGTAAGTGTTAAAAATGTTTAATTGATTGCTGATTGATTGATTTTTCAACAAATATTCATTGACACTCTGGTATGTTTCAAGTACCCTAAAAATACAGTAGTCAAGAGGACAGATGTGGTTTCTGCTTTCATGAAACTTTCATTGTAGAGGGAGATGGATATTAAATGATGAATTAACTATTAACTATTTAATTACAACTGGGCAGAGAACTGTAAAGGAGAAATAGTGTACTGTAAGAACAACTAATAGGAAGCCGGACCTCATCTCAAGTCTCAGAAGGAAATGATTGTTGAATTCAATGTAATTTTAGACAGTACGTGTATGTTGGTGAAGAGGAAGGAGAGGCAATGTGGGGAGGATCTTACAAGTAGCAAGGGGACAGCTGGTGCAAAGGCCTTGGAAAAGGAAAGGAGCACAGTATATATGAGGGACTAATAGAAGCTCAATGTGACTGGAAAGCAAAGGGAAGAATGGGAAGTGGGAGCTGAAGCCCATGATGGAGGCAGGTCCAGGCCACGCAGGGCCTGGTGGGTCCTGTTAATGATTTAGGTCTTCCCTTGAAAGTTTTGAGGCCACTGATATGTTTTAGACAGTAACTGACATGATCAGATTCCTGTTCCCTTAGCAAAGATTATTCTGATTGAATTGAAGGACTAGACTAGAGAAGGGTAAATATAGACAGAGGATCCAAGTTAAGGGGCTGTTATGCTAGTCCAGAAAGAGATGCTGGCAGTTTGGGTTAGGGGAGATGTAATAAGAGAGACAGAGCAGAGAGAGAGATATGTAGGAGGTAAAAATCAACAGGGTTTAATGAGTGATTGGATGTGTAGAGGGGACTGAGAGAGAAGAAACAAGGAAGGCACTCAGGTTTTTGTCCTGAATACCTGGCTAGGTGTCATTACCTTGACTAACACAGAACATTGGAGAAAGACCCCCAGGGGAGACGGGGGTACTGGAGAGCTGGGTTTTGGGAATGTTGTTCTAGTTTGAAGTGCTCAGAGGACATCCAGCCTGAGATGTCAAGTAGACAGTTGGCGATTTGAGTCTGAGGCTCAGAGGAACTTCTCTGATGAAAACAGAAATATGAGTGTTGCATACGGTAAAAGAAGATGAAGCATGGATGATCAGATCACACAGGAGAGTATATATTATAGATCTGTGGATTGCTTAGTTATATTTCACAAGTGCTTACTGAATTCTCTTTGCCAGGCCCTTTGCTAAATATTGGGCTATGAAAAGGAAAGATGTTCGGGAAATAACATAGGGCATCTCCTTGCCATAAGCCCAAATTACTCTTTCCATCATCCGAGGCAGGATACTCTCAGTACATCCAGAGAAAACTCTTGGGCAAGCTGAATCTATGCCTTAGTCCTGTGTTTTCTAGTCTCTGCTTGCATCTAACTGAAACCTCGGCAACCCTAAGTTCACTTCATTCTTGTTTGTTCTTAGTAGGCGTAGAGATGAGTTGGTAAGCATGTTCTTTATATTAACTCCATGCGTTCTTGAAAAACCTTCCCTCAGCTTTGAGAGACATCATCACCTTTGGCCTTGTCTTCTTAGAACAACTGATAGAGGATTGCTTCTTATACTAAGAAGGGTTTTTTACTATTTTGTGAAAAAGGAGTCCATCCTTAGGCTATAAGATATTATTTCCATATTTTGTAGGTTATAAATTGCTGATAACTTTCAGATTATGATGATATTGATTCCATTTGTGAAAATTAGGCCACACCCTTCTAGTCTGTTCCTAAAATAAGATTTACTGGCAAAGTGAAATTTATAGCCTCTTTTATAGCTCTTATTCTTCAGAGACCCATGGCTTAAAATAGCCTACATTTTAAGACTGTATTTTTCAAATTATTGTCTTTGGACCACCTGCATCGGAATCACTAGGGTGTGCTTATTAAAAATGAAGGCCATTGAATTGTCTTTTCCAATTTTTTTTAATACTGCTGGGATAAACCCCAATAATTTGCATTTTTAATAAGCACTCCAGGTAATTTTAGTTTATACTAGAGTTTAGAATCGTTGTTTTGAGGAATGTCAAAATTTGTACATCTCATTAAGAGAATCCTGAGTAAAATGAGAAATTAAACAGTTTTGCGAGACGGGTCAGTTTCTTACCAATTGTGAAGATTAAGAATCAAGTCACAAGGGTTACAGCATTTAATAGGGATCATTTAGCTGTCCAGTGATAAACAGATCGCATTACCCATATTTCTTTGGGAGTATGTCGAAGCTCAGGAGAGAGAAGCACAGAGCTGGGGAGCAAAAGCAGAAGAGAGTGAGCAGCAGAGTAGGGCATGTGGAAGGAAGAGTGAATGCAGATTACAGAGAAATGGACGCTAAAACGTGGGTCACTTGTCATCTTTTCATTCAGTTTTAGTGGGTAAAATTTTGCTTTAACCAGCATGCTCGGTGGTTCTCGGTATGCATGATTGTACATTTAGGAGTGTTTCTAGAGGTGCAACTTCCTTCCTATCTCCAGAACTGGCAAAAGTCTCTCCTTACTCCCACCCCCTCCCCAGGAAGAACGCCGTGTGATTTATGTTGGTAAAATCAGACCCGACACGACACGGATGGAACTGAGGGACCGTTTTGAAGTTTTTGGTGAAATTGAGGAGTGCACAGTAAATCTGCGGGATGATGGGTAAGAATCTTCAAGATTATTTCTTGTTTAGAAGCTGACATATGTAAAAAATCATGGCCATAAGATTACTAGGATGGGAATGCTTTGACAGATGACATGTTGAGTTCAGAACCTTATTTATTTTCTTTTATCCCTATTTATTAATCTTTCTAGTTGAGATTTCCTGTCCCAGAAATAAGTATTTAGCTGCTTGACAGGACAATCACACTGATAAATGGATGCAGTGGTTCAGACGTTGGCACCAGCGAAGTCTTCCAAAGTAGGAAGGGTCACAGGCGTATATGTTAATGCTTCCTCACCAGCTTTGAACCTCTCTTCTCTGTCCATTGCAGAGACAGCTATGGTTTCATTACCTACCGTTATACCTGTGATGCTTTTGCTGCTCTTGAAAATGGATACACTTTGCGCAGGTCGAATGAAACTGACTTCGAGCTGTACTTTTGTGGACGCAAGCAATTTTTCAAGTCTAACTATGCAGACCTAGGTATGGATTTTATTGTACGTGGGATGAGGAATCCATAATGGAGGGCTCAAAATGGAAGCAGATGTAAACCATAGGCATATTGAGTTGGACCATCGCTTTATTTTGCTAGAGGGAATGTTTGAATACAGATTTTATCTTATTTTTAATTTTTTTTAAGGTACAAGACAGTTTCAGAAGCAAAGGGCTCAGGTTTTGGCAGCAAAGAGCAGAAGTGAATTCTTTGTTCTGTCTTCCCAAATGCTGAAAGTCTGCACTGTTTGTGTGTGTGTGTGTGCTGGCGTGTGTTTATGTTGCGCGTGCATATGTGTGTGTGTGTCTTTGCCTAGATTTGCAATGTGCTATTGCATTCTGTGCCTGCCCTGAATCCTTCAGTATAAACTTTAGCATTATCATCGTGGTCTTACGGAACAGAATATGCACCAGAATATTCTGGCTCTTTTTTTCCTTATTATTCTACAAACTCTTAAAACTGTTAAGACATATTCTACAAATTACACCTTGAGAGGAGAAAATATAATTTCATATGCTAAATCACACTATACTTTCTCTAAAACAAAAGGAGAAAAAAAACCACCTTTTTTTTTTTTTTGAGGGTTTCCATATGCTAGGCGCGTGCCAAGGGCTCTGCAAGCATTTTCTTATTTAATTACGAGAATAATCCTGGGAGGTGGTTATTATTATTATTATTATTATCATCCTCCTTTTATAGATAAGGAAACTGAAGCATTTGTAAGCCTTCTTTTTTCCTGTTATAAAAGTTATACAGACTCAAGGGGAAAATTTGGAAAATATAAAAAGTATTAGGAAAAATAATAATGTCACCTGTCAGCCCACCACCTAGAGATCCACTGTGTGATTTACAGTCCAGTGTTTTGTCTCAGGATGTTTAATTTCTTATAGTTGAGGTCACATAATTTAGATCTATCAATTTTTAAATTCAACTCTTCTCAATTTATATTATTTAAGTAAGTTCATTTTCTACCATGTTCACAGGATTAAAAATAATTTATCGATTTATTTTAAAATGGTTGCACAGTATTGTGTTAGGTGAGTACCATTACATTTAATCATTCCATTATAGCTAAACATTTATTCAATTTTCAATTTTTTTTTGGCATTATAAATAATGCCAAAATGGACATCTTAATTTTCTTCCCAATTTTAATTTGGTCCCTTTGTATGCCATTCCCTATTTAACGTACGTATTGTAAGCCTTTAAATCCTTTGGTGAAGGAATGAAGGAAGGGAAAATGGCCAATGTCTTGTGCATATGATGTAATTGATTTGAGTCAATTCATAATAATAATCATAAAATTAACATATAAATCTATTCCTCAGCATTACTATATCTCTGTGTGCACTTGTTTTGGCTTGGTATAAAGGAAGAAATGAATACCAAATACAGGGATTTTTTTTTTTCTCTCCTCCACCAAAGTGATGCCTTCCTAAAGTAATTGATATAGGTGGTGTGCATTGTTCAGGGGGAATATGCTATAATTCACTTCAGAAACTAAATAGATAGTATGAAACAGAGGAGAAGCAGCCGACTGTCAAGAGAGACAGAGGCCCAGGGATGAAAATATAAAAGGTGACAAGTCATTTGTTCAAATGTTGGCTGATAAAAACAGTCAAGACGGATTGAAGTCTTAAGTTGATTTGACTTATTTTCTTCAGTGATGAAGGCCAGGGTGTTTGCAGTCTTTCAAAACATCTCAAGTTTAAAATAAGCTACCTAGAGGGGCCTTTAAATCACAATTCATCGCTGGTAGAGGGAGGATTGGATGGTATTTCCAAACTGAACCAGAGCCTCCCTGAAATAGGTCTAAGAAGAATGCTTCCCCTCTTGTTATCTTCCTGCCTCGTCAGCAGCAATAGAAACTTTGCCGTTGCTAAGCTGGCTCTGTATTTTCTGAAAAGTATGTTTGATGTGTGTTGTAGGAGCATGGGTTTTTCCAATTCCCTCAAGCCCTACAGTTTCACGAAGGGAAGTTGAGCTGAGTATAGGCATGGCGTAGTGGAAAGAGCCCTGGCTTTGGAATCTTGTAGACCTGGCTTTGAAACCTGACTTAGCTTCTGACCTTGAGCAAACAATGAAGCTCCCTCTGCCTCCAGTTCTTCATTTGTAAACTACCTCATAATGTTGTTGCAAAGATTCAGTAAATGTTTGTGATGTGGTTGGCACAGTATCTGGCATAAAGTAGGTGCTCAATAAACAGTAGCTATGATTATAATTAAAAACGATGACAATGAGCAGTTAGAAATGTCAAGTTATTTTGAAATGAAAGCATCAACATCAGGGGCCGGCTCTGGAACCGAACAACATGCATTCATATGGGTCCTGTGTTTGTCCCTGAAGAGTTCAAGTTAAATGCTTTGGGGCATGACCAGTGAATTTGGTGACCATTAGATTGTACTGGACACTTAGAGGGGTTGGGAGCTCACATGTGTGTCTGTTGAGAGTTAGTGAAAATGATGTGATATTGATTAATCTTACCAAGAGTAAAGAGACCCATCATTTTAGATAGATTTAATCATTTTTTTTCCTGTTTTGCTCCCCAAATTAAGTTAGCTCACACATCCTATTCCTCTATTATCAGGGCCACCTAGTGATTACTACAACGCTATTAGTACAGAATGTGATAATTCCAAGTTAGTATTACGAGCCAGTTTTATAAGTGAGACTCCGGGTTAAAGGGACAATCAAGGTTACCTAGGTAAAGCCAGTATGTAAGCCTAGTTTCCATGAATCTGTAATCTGTGAGTCTGTCTGTTTACTGTCCTATAAACAGATGGATCTTTCTCAAAGACCTCAATGAGAAATCTTAAGGACAAAAGATACAAATTAAATCAGGACTCTAGGACCAGAAGAGAAGGATGGGCCAGTATTACGAATATGATCATGGATTCATCAGGAATTAGTTATGGTATAGAACTTAAATATACAAGAAAAATGAAATAAATAACATTCATCACAAATTCTTTATTAACTCAAAAACTGTATTACATTATCAGCATCTCGAATATATACATAACTTTGTATATACCCTTGGCATTCTTTGGTAAATCATCCCAAGATCCCAACACAAAGATGTTCAACCATGGTGTTTTAAAATGCTGGTTTTCAAGAGTAATACATTCATTCAACAAATTCTAATCTTAGTACCTGCTTTGTGCCAACAGTTTTCCAGGCGGTAAGAATACAGTTGTATTGTGATATGTTTCTATTTATATGGTATCATTATTTATAGCAATTTATTTTAAAAAATAATCAAAGTGGCTTTTGGCTTTTTCCTGTCAAAATTCTATTATATCTTACTTGTGTTGCAGTATCCTTATTGGCGGGAAAGGGGTGGCATAGATGTTGTTTTCTCAGGAATTGCATGTAACCATGTATTCATACAACAGAAAAGATGTTGTGGATGCCTATTTTGTGACATGGCCTGCCTGTGTAAGTGATTACAGACTTGTAAATACCAGCTATCATATTTCATAGCGAAGAAACTCTTGAGAACCACTGTTTCCAAATATATATTTTTTTTGCTAATAAAAATATGGAAACATTGAAATTCTGGGTTTGATGTAGGGTAACCCAAAGTTAAGACATTTTAAATATTCTCAAAATGTCCTTCAAGGAAAGATCTGTGTGTGTGTTCTTTTTTTCTTTTTCTTTTTTTTTAAAGATTTTATTTATTTATTCGAGAGAGAGAGAGAGAGCATGAGCAGGGTGAGGGACAGAGGGAGAAGCAGACTCCCTGCTGAGCAGGGAGCCTGATGCAGGGCTCAATCTGGGATCCAGGACTCCGGAATCATGACTTGAGCCCAAGGCAGACACTTAACTGACTGAGCCACCCAGACATCTCTGTATGTGTGTTCTTGACGTTTCTGTGCTTTCATGCCACACAGACTCTGGTCATTGGAAGACTCTTCTAACTTTATTTATAATGCAAGTGGAATTCTGATTTCAGGTTAATCTCAAGCAGTGAGAAGGACTTTCTCTGTGTGTCTGTCTACAAGAAAAGATTTTGATTGGAATGATAGCTGCTCATGAAGCTTTAGTGATACAAGCCAACTGCTCATTAGGCTACCTGTGAAGGGAAGGATGGGAGCCGGTGTAATTTAAGAATTGACTACGTGAGATGTTAGAAAAGGTTGGCCATTTTTGTCCTGTCTTTTATTTCTGAGGCCAGCCGTAATTGCTTTTCTTACCTGGAAAAACTTGCTTGGCAAAAAAGTCAGTAAATACAAGGGATGGTAAGAATGAAAGAAAAAAAAAAAGGGAAGGAATCTCCTTGTCTTTAAATCTAAGATGGCTAAAGTAGTTTGAAGCTAGAGCGAAAAATCAGCCTGGTGCTGGAGAGCTTGAAGGATTACAGCCTTTTCAGCCAAACAGCTTGTGAAGTCAATGAGTATGCCACCATATTATCTAATCTCATACTCTTCCGTCACTTCGGACATTGCTGTTTCGTAACATTCCGGATAAAACACAGAAATGTTTGTCTGTTGGTAGGATTGTTAATACTTCCCAGAAAGGACTGGTTTTCCCTTCAAGTAAGTGCTCTCAAAAGAATGAATTTATTTGCAAGAGGTTTTCTATTATATTTCTAAGATGTCTTTCCTCATTTGCAAGACCAGCAGAAATATCTAACTTTTTTATAAATGTCACTGGAGAAATATCAGAAATATTTAGAAGAAGAATTTCATTTTATATCCATCATTGCTGAAACATGACAATTTTGTTAAGGGGCCATGTGAAGTATGTGGAACTCTTCACAAAAGCTGACTTGGACTAGTTCAAGTGGTTTTATCTATAACTGTGTATTTTTCCTCTTGTATTACTGAGGCTGACTTTGCCTTCTCTGGACACGAAGCGTTTCCCTATACCTTCTAATTTGGGGTGAATTTGTGCCAATATTGCTGGGCTGTTCCCAAGGTACTGGAATAGATAAGTGGATCACATGTTCCTCATGCCTGAAAGGAGAGCAGCCAGGTGGCGAGTAGGTGAAGGTCTGATCATTCTCTCTCCCTCCCACTCACCTGGCTTTTATGCTCAGTGAAGTCAGTCCCACTGAATAGGAAGATTAGTTCCGGCTTCTACTCTTACCTCTCCACTTGAGTTGTTGAGAAGCCTTGGGTAGATCATTTAACATACCAGGAAGGGGGCAGGACATGGTTATTTTTACAGTATATTGATTTTGATTAGAAATAAGTTTGTTCTGATTACCTCCTAGGATTAAGACTAAAATGAGTCAAAAAGTAGTACTTGGAATGCTTGCCACTCCTTACCCTCTGTAAACATGTTATCTAATCTTATACTCTCTCTTCCTTTCTCTCTGTAAACATATATATTTCTTAAATATTTATTTTTACGCATTATACATAATTATATGTAAATTTATAAATATAAATAATATATTTACATATAAATAATTCAACAATAAAATATTGGGTATAAATACCCTCTGCCAATATATACATATATATAATATATATACCAATAAAATATATCAATGCATATATCAATAAAAGTTGGGTATATTTTTAAAAGTATATCGACTGGATAAGTTGTTATTGAATCAAGTAATCTTGAATTGGACAGTTGAGTTAAGGATGAGAGTGTGTCTAACCTGGCGTGGGTTTCTTGCAGATTCAAACTCAGATGACTTTGACCCTGCTTCCACCAAGAGCAAGTATGACTCTCTGGATTTCGATAGTTTACTGAAAGAAGCTCAGAGAAGCTTGCGCAGGTAACATGTTCCCTGGCTGAAGATGACAGAGGGACGGTGAATACCTCACGGGACAGCGCGTCCTTCCCTAACTGACTATTACAAGTCATACTTAGGAATTTCTCCTACTTTACACTCTCTGTATAAAAACAAAACAAAACAACAACAATACAACAAGAACAACAACAATGGTTTACATGAACACAGCTGCTGAAGAGGCAAGAGACAGAATGGATATCCAGTAAGCACATGTTTATTCATGGGTGTCAGCTTGGCTTTCCCTGGAGTCTCTTGGTGATGGAGTGTGTGTGTGCATGTGTGTGCGCGTGTGTGCGTGTGTGTGTGTGCGTGCGCATGCGCACGCCTGTTTGGGGGCAAGTATGTATGCACAGGTGGGGACTGGGGGCACCTGACCAGAGTGTGCCAGGGCAAACCACTTCAAATGGCAGCAGTTCCATGAAGACACACTTAAAACCTGGAACTTCAAAATGTTCATATTCTATTCAAAAAGAAAAAAAAATGCATAAATTCAAAAGGAAAGAAAACCAACCAACCACAAGCCACCCTAAAATGACAGCCACTGATGTCTGGGCATCAACCTCCGTACTCTGTTTTTTAAGAAAGTGCAAACTCGACTTGAAGCAAGCTTTCTCTCATAACATAATGGTTATATGACAATCCCGAAGAAACCACAGGTTCTGTAGAACTAATATCCTTTCTCTCTCTCTCTCTCTTTCTCCCTCTCTCCGTCTGTCCCCCATGCCATCTCTTTAGCCCTCGCCTTTTCTCCTTCACTTTCTCTTCCTTTCTCTCTCTCTCTCTCTCTCTCTCTCTCTTTTTCTTCTTTTTTCCTTTTGCCATGGAGTCTGGGTGGGAGAGGATACTGCGGGCACCGGAATGCTAAACTTTCCTAACATTTTGAAGTTTCTGTAGTTCATCCTCTATCCTGACACCCATGTAAATGTCCAAAATGTTGATCCTTCCGCTGCAAATTTCAAAAGCCTTGTCAATGGTCAAGCGAGCAGCTCGTTCGGTGGTTCTTTCTGAGGAGCGGGCACGGTGTTCCATGACTAATGAGAGTTGGGTAGAACTCTCTAGTATGTGTTCAGATAGTGTAATTGCTACATTCTCTGATGTAGTGAAGTATTTACAGATGTTAAATGGAGTATTTTTATTTTGTGTACATACTATACAACGATGTTCTTTTTTGTTACAGCTATGCACTGTAAATGCAGCCTTCTTTTCAAAACTGCTAAATTTTTCTTAATCAAGAATATTCAAATGTAATTATGAGGTGATACAATTATTGTACACTAACATATTTAGAAGCTGAACTTACTGCTTATATATATTTGACTGTAAAAACAAAAAAGACAGTGTGTGTGTCCGTCGAGTACAGCAACAACAAAATGATGCTTTACGCACATCCATCCCTTCTTAGGTAAGCTTCAATCCAAGCATCTTGTCAAGAACTATCCTAGCCCCCTAAAGGTATTAACCACTTCTGCGGTATTTTTCCACATTTTCTTGTTGCTTGTTTTTCTTTGAAGTTTTATACACTGGATTTGTTAGGGGAATGAAATTTTCTCATCTAAAATTTTTCTAGGAGATATCATGATTTTATGTAAAGTCTCTCAATGGGTAACCATTAAGAAATGTTTTTATTTTCTCTATCAACAGTAGTTTTGAAACTAGAGGTCAGAAATCTTTTTAAAATGCTGTTTCGTTTTAATTTTTGTGATTTTAATTTGATACAAAATGCTGAGGTAATAATTACAGTATGATTTTTACAATAAGTAATGTGTGTCTGAAGACTGTTCTTAAAGCCAGTATCTCTTTCCCTTGGCAGAGTAAGATGATGGTATTTATCTGTATTTTTTACAGTTACGCATCCTGTATAAATACTGATAATTCATTCCTTTGTTTACTAAAGAGACATATTTATCAGTTGCAGATAGCCTATTTATTATAAATTATGAGCTGATGAAAATAATAAAGCCAGTGGAAATTTTCTACCTAGGATGCATGGCGATTGTCAGGTTGGAGTTGAAATGTTTCATTTGGGAAATTCAGCTTTTGCAGAAGCGGTGTTTCTACTTGCACTAGCTTGGCCTCTGACGTGACCATGATGTTGTTCTTGATGACATTGCTTCTGCTAAATTCAATAAAAACTTCAGAAAAACCTCCATTTTGAGCATCAGGATTGCATCTGAGTGCGGAGCCCTGCAATGGAAGTCAGTAAAGTTTGGAGTGTGTATTCAAGTTTCTAAATTGAGATTCGGTTACCGTTTGGCCGACATGACTTTTCTGGAAGATGTGCGATACCTACTACTTAATTGTTCTTTTCCTTTCTCTCGCCCAACACAATCTTATAAAATGGATTTCACCCCCAGGCCAATGCAGCTAATTTTGATAGCTGCATTCATTTATCACCAGCATATTGTGTTCTGAGTGAATCCACTGTCTGTCCTGTCGGATGCTTGCTTGAGTTTTTGGCTTCTTATTTCTAAGTAGATAGAAAGCAATAAAAAAAATATGAAATAAAAGAACTTGTTCACAGGTTCTGCGTTACGGCAGTAACATATCTTTAATCCGCCTAATTCTTGTTGTTCTGTAGGTTAAATGCAGATATTTTAACTCTGTGTGAACGCCAAACTAAAGTTTACAGTCTTTCTTTTGGAATTTTGAGTATCTTCTGTTGTAGAATAATAATAATAATAAAAGACTATTAAGAGCAATAAATTATTTTTAAGAAATCAATATTTAGTAAATCATATTATGTGTTCAAGGACCAGATGCGTTCTCTACTTTGCCTTTAAATTTTTGTGATCCAATTTTAAATACATTCTCCTTTTTGCCCTGGATTGTTGACATGAGTAAAATACTTGGTTTCTTTTCTTACTTGTCAAAAGACAACACTACAGATTTCACATTGAGGATTAATTTATCCCCACTCTGGCCTGACAAATATTGTTACCATGAAGATAGTTTTCCTCCATGGACTTCAAATTGCATCTAAAATGAGTGCAAAGAGAGAATCACTAACCCAACTGAGTAGAGCTTTTTGTATCTTATGCAGACCCTGTGGGTTGCCCATCAAAACGTAAACTGTGTTCCTTTTATTTTTATTTTTAATTTGTCTTTTGGAGAGAATATTTCAAATGAACACATGCACCCCATCTTCACTGGAGGCAAATTTCAGCATAGAACTCTAGGATTTTTAGATGACCGCAGGCCAATGCCTTCATGCTGTGGTAAGTACCACATCTACAATTTGGGTGACCGAACTGGTGCTTTAGAAATGTGGGCTTTTTTTTTTTTTTTTTTTTTTTTTAAAGAGATGTAGCGGAATAATTCTTCCAGTGCAACAAAATCAATTTTTGCTAAATGACTCTGAGAACAAGGCGGTTGGGCTGTCAACATTCAAAGCAGCAGAGAAGGAACTTTGCACTATTGGGGTATGATGGTTGGGTCAGTTGAAAAAAGGAAACCTTTTCATGCCTTTAGATGTGAGCTTACAGTAGGTAATGATTATGTGTCCTTTTTTGATGGCTGTAACGAGAACTTCAATCACTGTAGTCTAAGACCTGATCTATAGATGACCTAGAATAGCCATGTAATATAATGTGATGATTCTAAATTTGTACCTATGTGACAGACATTTTCAATAATGTGAACTGCTGATTTGATGGAGCTACTTTAAGATTTGTAGGTGAAAGTGTAACACTGTTGGGTGAACTATGCTGAAGAGGGAAAGTGAGCGATTAGTTCAGCCCTTGCCGGGCTTTTTTTTTTTTTTTTTCCACCTGCCAATTCTACATGTATTGTTGTGGTTTTATTCATTGTATGAAAATTCCTGTGATTTTTTTTTAAATGTGCAGTACACATCAGCCTCACTGAGCTAATAAAGGGAAACGAATGTTTCAAATCTACTTCTGCCTTTCTTATTTATTGTAACCAATCTCCTGGCATGTTTCTCAGATCAGTGCACATTAGTCACTTATTATTATTCTGTTTCCTCTCTGGATCTCCCTCCCTTTCTCCCTGCTTCTCCACATTCATGGATGGATTTCAGCTCTCAGGTAACGTAGACCTTCTGTATTTTACCTTTTCTCCTTTCAAATGGCAAAGGCAGAAGTGGTTTCTATAATGAGAGATGACGTGGGCCTTTAAGAAGTGGATTAACTCTGCTTTTGTACAGAAGATGTGTATTTTTAAGTACAAGCCATTGCCCCTAGTGAGAATCTTGCTGAATATTCAGCTTAGGAAGCAATTCTGTAGATGGACTGAACATGTCGCAAAGACTTGTAACAGGATGCAGCCCCCATCGTATGTAAGTCAATAGGGGCGGGCTGATAGCTGCTGACACAGCTTGCTGTCAGGATGTCTGTCTGCTGTGTCTTGCAGGTGACTGGTGGTCCTGATGACAGAGATGACAGAGAATGCACTTGTGCATGCTCTGCCCTCTCCCGATTTTAGACGGTCGTCCCCACTCCCAGCCACCTGCATTGCAAGACCCACCATAAACATGGCATTGGGGAAAGGGGGCTAAATATATCCCAGCCCTTGCCCCCCATCTCCTAGAGAAGAAAGGGTTTGTAATTACTGGAAATGTGATAGAGCTATCAATAGTACATTGGAGTCTGCTACATAACACAAGAAACACTGCTCACTGTTCTATGTCTTTTTTATACGACTCTAAGATGTGCCAGTCGTTTTATCAAAACAGAAAATAAACATTAACGTTATCTTACCCAAATATGGCCCTCACCTACAACTGTGGCTACCGAGCACGCCTGCTGGATTACCCTCGGATTCTGACTTGTCTCCATCGATGCTTAAATTGCATACGACATTTTTAATCCTCTGGCTGGACCCAGCAAGGACATTAGAATAATGCAGGTCTTTCTTTTAAAGGGTTAACTTTTTACCCTTAAAAACCTTTTGAGAGGAAAGGGGAAATTTGAAGAAGCAACAGTAGTAGCTGCTGGCCAGGTACTAGGATAGTCTGATTAAAAATAAAGGATTTATTTCATGTTGTCCTCAAAACATTAAATCACTTCCATCCTTGATGATACTAATGGCAAAATAATTATCGAAACCAAAATTAGGCTGATAAAAATAAATGAACACTGAATATGAATAGTTTATTTAAAAGGAGCTTGTCTCAATTCAAAAGTCCTCTAAACTAAATCTGTCTAAACTGTACAATGTGATATTCAAAATCCCTTTTCAGCATTGCTGGGTCTCTCTCCATTGTAGGATTATTTAGCTAATCATTGGATATAATTTACAGCCCTAACAACATTATTATACTCATCTGACACTAGTGTTACTAGCTACACAGTTGTAACTCAACATTAATTATAGAATATTTTAACCAAAGCGCACTTTTTGCAGTATTTACTTTATATTAATCTTACATTTTGCAATTCTTGTTGCCATTCCTTGTTTTCAAACACATTATACACCATTATAAATCAATCTTCGTACTTTATCAAACAGCAGAGAGTAATAAAGAAGGTCACAACTCATAGAGGAGTTCCTTGGAGGTTTGTAACATCATGATTTAAATCTCAGAAAGATTTAATCAAAAGCTGAATTAATCCCTGGGGGAAAAGATGCTATATAGATTCTATTGATGGGCACAAAGCAGCCTATTTCTTTTCATTGGTCTCTGTTAACACGCTGGGAAAAAAGAAACATAGTTTTTCTGCAGGAAAGAAAACAAGATTTCCTTGATGGGGGAAGGATAATATGAAATGGGCTTTATGCCATGTTTCTTTCCTTTCATTCAGAATGGTCGGTTTCATTCCACTTACTGTGGCTTTATCTGTTCTTCTAGTGCATGGTTAAGTTAAATGTCCTCCACCCCTTCAATCCCCTCCGTATATCCCACGTGATTCCAGTAATTCTGCAAAGTCCCCAAAGCTCCACTCCAGTCAAGCATGTGGAATGTGTGGGTCACATGAGCTGGTTTCCAGGTCTTCTGCTGTAATCAGGTGACTGCCCCGGGGCCAAATTCTCAGCCGTTCAGGGACCCTGGAAACTTGCAGGAAGAAATGATCATAAAACAAGAGTATTTCTAGGACCAGGTTCTACCAAAAACCCTATCGTTCCATGATTAGGATGTATGCTGAAGATAAGAGGCCATCACCTTCCCATATGCCTCTTTTCCACCCATAATCCCATAGAATGTGATCATATTCCTGTTAGCTCAAAGACCATTACTTACCATCAGCTGACTTATATAAGGGGCAAACTGGAATTAATTAATTGAAAAAAGTGAAAGAGCTTTTAGAGGAGAAAACCAAATGATCCTATAATATTTTCATGATTAAATTAAATGAGCATAATTATACATGCACAAATGCACACCAAGGCATTATTATAATCAAGAACCTTAGAATATGATATTGTTTCAAATTTATGCATATAGCACTTACTGAAGGCAAGGAGCTGGTGTGATATTTGCATATTGACCATTTTCATATATTTTCATATATTAATTTCTAGTAGGAAGAAGCTGAATTATTAGGAAAAATCCTGGGGTGATTTAGAAAAAATATTGTGCTTCTGCTCGTTTTTGAACATCGGGGGCACTTAGCAACATTATCTTTTTTTCCCCACATAGTTTTCTGTGATGGATTTTCAACAAGATGACATCCAAGTGAAAGCCGAAATTAAATGGGAAGGAAAGAATGTTAAGTGGTAAAATCCTAAATAGCTTATTAGACTACTTAATTGGAGGGAATTTATTTTTGCTGCTGTTAGGAACTCTACAGTCAAGCTTCTCTTTAACAATACTAACTGATGAAGAAAAAGTAGCTATAGTAACATAGTTACTGCATGATACCCTCCAGCACGTCTTTTAAGGGAATTCATAGGTACTTTCCTTTGATTGACTTCCGTGTTGTTGAAAATCAAGTCCTGTCTCCATTCATACGGTTGCTTTCTCACTTCACTCCCAACCAGGCCTCTTGCTTATTCCTACCAGAGATTCTCAGTGCACTTAAAAGACCTGAAAGACAATGACACCATGCTTGCTCCTGGGTTAACAATTTAGCCGGTTTTCAGCTCGATTGCTATACCCTTCCATCAAGTGGCTAATGTTTCACAGTGTTTAGAGGTATTGCCCCCTGTAAGCACTTCCCTATTTGTTGGCAGGAATATGTGTACACTACCCCAGAATAATGATCAATTAGTCTGCTTCCTGGAGAAGTTTAAGTTAGTAAACTGGTCACGTAGCCTGTGATGTCACCATGTTACTTTCATGTCAGGTAACTTAATGGTCTAGTTCAATGCATGGCCTAATTCTCCTCCAATTAGCTGGCTACATAGGATAAACATCCTGATCCCCATTCAATAAGCTGCCTTTCCCAGGGTCAGCAATCTGAATTGCAGTTCAGACCATCCAACAGGAAAATAATTGGAGGAAAAGCAAAAATTGGAGTTCACCCCCCAATGTTTGGCCTCAGTGTCTGAAGATGGGAAGTACCTGTGTGTTGGGACTGACATTTTCCAACTTTTAATGGCAGGCTTGGTGGCATACAAAGGGAGTGCCAGTGCATGCACCTGATGAATGAAACAATTCATAGAGAGCTCATAAGAGTTTCTTTGTCACATGGTACCAGGGTCCCATTGAGCCACCATTTGCCATGGCACAGCATGCAAAGACTAGGACTAGAAAGGTCAGCTCATGAAAAGACAAGAAATAAATAGAAGGTTAACCAAACACATTTGAACTTCGGGTACAAAACAAGGTTTGGGCAAAGATTCCCCATGGTTTCTTATTTGCCTTTCAAGCCGACTCACTCTGTGGGATTCTATAAACAAAAGAGGCGATTGTACAGGGGAGGCTGTAGAGCTGTGAAGAAGGTAATGGACTTCATGATGCTGGTTCTGTGTGCATGCATGGTTATGTGTCAGCTACACAGCAACTGGCCTTTCCCCACCTGACGCTGCTCAGAGGAGTTGACTGAAATCCTGTTTCTTGCCTTGGCTTCTGGATTGGTGGAAGGCTTTTAGGGATTTCCATGGCCGGGTTTTTGGATGGAACTTTTCAGCTTTAATTTTGTGGAATGATAAAAAAGATGCCCCTCTGTACATCCAGTAAATAATGCTTTTCATGTTCTGATAGTGCATTGAGGAACACCCCCTTTTTTCTTCTAATTGTCCAGTTTTATCATCCCAAAGTCACCATCTGAAATGAGGAAACTTCTCAGACTTTCAGCATTTGGAAGGTTAAACTTGAACCCCCTCAAAAGTCTTATCTGTGAGACAATGTGGAGACATTCAAATTTATGGCATTGGGATGATTTAAAAATATTATTTGATTTTTTTCACACTCAAGAATGTAGCCTCATCAACTCCATTTGGAAACTGGATCAATCTGGAGACTTCCTTTCTTAGAATCGGCTCTCAGTGACACACCTGGTTACCTTGTTTCCCAGCACTTACCACCTCAAGTGTGATGATGGTACTTCATCTGGCCCGCTTTCTCTAATATCTTCATTTTAAATGAGATGAATCTTCCTGTTGCAATGAGAAGACTACTATGAAAAGCTGTCCTCCATCTGAAAGTCCAGTAGATTCAGGGTGGGATTAAAACATGAAGATAATGATGATGACTGTGATGGATCAGCTAGTATTTATTGTAGGATTATTATGTCCTTGCCACTTCACTTAGCTCTTCATGTGAATTTTCTTAATGAGTCCTCTCACCTGAAGGATGGGGGTAGATCTACAACTGTTCCTATTGCATGCATGAGGAAATGGGGGTATAAAGAAGTTAAGTAACTGCCAAGATCTGAGCAAAGTTCAGTTCACCCCAAAACTGATTTAATTGATTATCTTGCTACAGATAATGCCTCAACAAATAAGACATAAATGCCCAGAAGAAAACATTTTCCATTGGAGGTAATTGAAAAGT